TACAATAACGAACAGAACCACGACACTATCTTAGCACTAGTAGAGTGACCACACTCGTTGAATGACTTGAGCGGAATCTCTCGCGCACGGCACCTACATTGAACTTTATACTGCACAAACAAGCGCAGGTTTCTCGATATACCCTCCCTTATGTCCACCTCGATCAAAGTATATATATATAAAATATATAGACGCTCCGATATATATTTTAAACAGTATATAATATACATTTAAAAAAAATAAAAGCACCATAATACGTCATCTTGAGAATTTACCTGTGAAATGTGCAATTATCAAGATTATTTCTATTATAAAGACCACAGTCATTCAAAGAACAAGTAACCATTTTTTTTGTTTAATAATGGTTGTTTTTAGTAACCATTTACTAAAAACAACCATTATTACACTCTAAAAAATTACAAAATATCTAGAAGCTATTTCTTCAGTGCCGACTTGTCATTCAAAATCAGTTACATATTCATGAGTAAGTAAGTACCTAAATTGAACCAAAGGGAGAGATATATATACTTTAACTATATTATAACATTTTAACTTATCAAAATTCCACCGCTGAACCTACGTTCACCTGTAACCACCTAAGTATGCCTTCCAAATAAATTGCCACATAGGTGAGAAATTTGCCACAGTTATTAAGCTTGCTAGATTAGTTTGATATTTGGGAGAAAATTGATTCAACAGGGGTCCATAAAGAAATGTCTCACGTTTAAAATATACACTTTAAGCCCCAGCCAAATAAGACCCATTATATTTGATAGTGAATGCTTTGACGTTCTTTACTTTCCAACGAACTGAATATATGGCACGTCTCGACGTCGCGTCGTGATCATATGATACTTAATCGTCCTATTTCGTTCATCTTCGGTAATTTGTATTCAAGCAGTGACATAAATAAAACTGATATAGAATTTCACTTTCAGCAGCTAGAGGAAATAAAGAAAAAAATAAATGGATTATTTCACATCTTGAAATGTTTACTTAAAAATATTTAGATACTTTTCTAGAAGTCATGGTAGCTCAGGTAATGAGAAATACAAATTTAATAGCTGATTTATAGTGAGCTAAGCAGTGACGGAAAACATTGTAAGGATACCTGAATACCTGAGCAATAAAATGTTTTGTAGACATGTAAAATCCGTCAACACTCACTGGAGGACGCGGCGGAGTAGCTGCTTCATAACCCTTTTAGAAGTGAGGGAAGTATCCAGTAGGGGGACAGATAAAGGCTTTCACTTTTATTTTACTATAATAATTTACATTTTTGTAAACAAAATTGTCAAAAAAATTGTTTTTAATTTGAATTTAATGGACCATAATTGAGCAAGGGTGTACCATTCTCGCTATTCGAGCACCTTGTAAAAAAACTATCTATATATGGGTAACTATCTAAAAATGTTGAGAGAAAAATGTTCTATATTTGAATTTCTTGCCACTTGTTCATTAAAGTTTTCTTTGATGGGTACTGTTTGAACCAATGTCATAATGCCTACTCAGATTTTCAGGAAATATCTGAGGCCAATGTGAAAGAAAAAAAAATGATTTTGACTTCATGAAAATTTATAAAATGTCATTAGATAAGAACACTTAATATGTATGTTGTACTGACGAATACATTAGATAATTATTAGAATCAGGCGTTACTTTGCGGAAGTCCATTATATAAAATCCTTGTCCTTATCCTTGATTTGGTTATCGTTTCTTCTCTCGACCATGTTGATAAATTTGGTCAATTTTCTGCCAATACCTTTTCCTATCATGACCATCTGTTTATATCTTATAAAATAAGAACACCGAAATCTAAGTCAAAGCTACTTCTGCAGCGTAATTATGAGGAAATGGATTTGGAAAAGCTACAAAAAGACGCTGCTAATATGCACTGGAGTGTTATAACAAAGACTTGCTCTGTTGGCGAACAGGTCGCATTCTTTGATTCGCTTCTTGTTCAACTCTATAATATATTTGCTCTTGTCCGTAAAAAGTAGAATAATAACAATTTTATTAAAAGGAGTAATTTCTACATCATTTGTACCAGTAAGTATAATATTGAGACAGATGTTTATACATTATAAAACTGTAGTACATCAAAGATATAAAATCTTGAGATTATCCTCTTTAAGTCATTATAAACCAAAGTAAGTATATATTTAACAATATATATATATATATATATATATATATATATATATATATATATATATAACTTAACCGACCGCAGAACTTCAAGGTCACACTAGTACAAAATTCATAACATTACGCTATTTTCCCCAAAGCTTTAATCCGAGCTTCAGATTATATTCCCAAGTCACAATGATAAAACTTATAAAGTATAATTATAGTTACGTATAGATATTTAATAATGGTCCTGAAGCGCCACTAGACGCCCGCGCATAAGACGCAATAATATAAATTTCATATTATTTGATACTCACAACGCTCGATACCTGATTCATGCTTGATGGCCGTCGACGTTGTGTCGAGGGCTTAAACATGGTGATTAGCCATAGAGAATAGGAACTTGTGGTTAAGTAATAGCTGCGGGAATCAATAGATTTACGAGATTAATCTGAACTTGCCGCGGTCAGTCCATGAATGAGTGACCATTTTCTTAACACACCGAGATTGAGAGAATAGAGAGTGCATCTGTATCCTCAGACACTTGGTGCACTTTACTCTGTTAAGATCATTATGCTTTTAAAATTCATTCAGCTAAAATGAAAATAAGTTTATACTTCTCAGTTTTAAATTACTTTATACTTTTCAGGAACAGATGAAAGAATATAAACATGAAGCATGATGAAGCCTCATATATATATTCGCCTTTAAACAGAGCAATCTTATTTAAGTGATTCCTACAAGTTTCCTTGCTTAAATTATTAAATTTACATTCATATTTAAGTCGGATTGTAAAATAAACTTCTTTATTGTATTTAATTATTAAATGTTTGTAAGTCTCAAAAGTATCTTAACAGTGGTAGAGCCACGCGGCAGCTTTTGCTGTCGCACGGATGGGCCGGCTCGAACCGGGGTAGTACCACGACCTCACAGAAAACCAGCGTGAAGTAGAGGTTTACCTCTGCGTTTCGCTTGGTGAGTGCAGGTGGCCGGAGGCCCTTTTTACTGGAAATGAGGCATTCCGTCTTAGTCCTCACGGGTGACAACGCATCTACATTTTGATTTGTAACAGAGGATAGATGTAGATATCTATGGGCCGCAGCAACCACTTACCTTCAGGTGTACTGTGTGCTCGTTTGTCACCCTTATCCTATATAAAAAATAAATAATAATTATATGAAAAATAAAGCAGCCATTATGTACCACGTGTCCCCACTTTTTATTTCGCCATCAAAACAATTTTATAAAATATAAATTGTTATAACTTAGTTAAGTATCTACCTTTTTATATTCACGATATGTTAAAAAAGAAATTTGGGGAAACTGTTCATGGCAATAAATATTTTACTCCAAAGATCATAGCTCGAAAATACTCGTACAACTCTCCGATCTGATTCTTGGAGATTTTTTTTAAGTTTATCGGTAGAGTCACCTGGGATTTTATGTATTTGAATTAAAATCCTACAAAAGGCAGGTAGGTTCAGCTTATTCCCAGGAAAAAGTTATATGAATATTTTGTTAATTATTTTAGAAGTATCATGGTAAAAATTAAGTAAATTTTGAAGTTATACAATTTCGTGCACTAAAAAATTTTTTTAAATGTTTTTACCGCTTCCTTAACAATCATTTTTCGATAGTCCCTGTAAATAAAATGTACATCACTAGCCAACTCACACAATGATAAATCAAAATTAGTCACGCGTTTTCGGGCTGTCAGGTCGTCAAGCCAGTATATTCTAAGTCTATGATTATTAATTAAATTTTAATTTGAGATGTAATCAAAAGATCCTACAGCACAAGTTTTGATATTATATAAGCAAAGTCGTATGTTAATTAAGTTTCTAGTGTTCTAAGAGACTAAGATAACAAATACTATGAGTTAAGCAAATTTTCAAACTCAATACAGCGAGCCAATAAATTGTACCACGGATTTTAAAATTTGGATCAAAGCCAAGTTAGCCCATTTACGTTGTACTTAGCTACTTACAGCCGTGGCACTCACAGCGCAGGGGCTAACCGCTTACTGTGAATTTCACAGTACACTTGAGTTCGTTTCTTACACGCCCTAATAAATTGATTGTCAATTGCAATTTTAATTTATCACCCTTTTTATTTACCTCGTAATTGATGGTAAAGAAAAATATCGTGAGGAATGTAGCACGTCTAAGTAATTAAATATTTAAAAGACATGTAACACAAACATGCACAAGAGAAGAGCGACTTACTTTTGCTCCTAGAAATGAGAAAAGGCCAGTGGGACTTATAACGGTTTTTATTTTACTTTACTTAATTTATTATTTGATTAATTTTACTCTATTTGAAGTGAAAACTTATTTAGAATCGTTGTGATTTAAAACTCGATGAAACGAAAATCTATACGATTTAGTCTAAGTGAGGTAGAATACAGTACGCAGCGTTTTGTATTTAGTTTTCTATTTATTATATATATATATATATATATATTAAGATTATGCATATAATCCATGAGAAGTAAGGTTAACCTTTAAGTAGTGATGTGGTTTGGATGACTCATAAATGGTGATGTGACGTTTTATAGACGTCTACGCAATTTATGTCAATAGTATGAACTTAATTATTAATTAGACATTTTTTGTATAAAATCAAAATAAAAATCCTCTTTTTAATGATATTGACTAAAATTAAACCCAATTTAAGCATTAATCAACATTTATTAGGACATTTAGCAAAAGTTACGAAAAAATCACATCCTATAAAAGACGCACTTCTTAAGTGTTATGAAATAAACAAACAGACTTATTTTTTAACAAAAAATAAAATATATTACTTCTTCAACTTAACTACTAAAATAATATAAGAACTACTACAGAATCAATCTTCTAAATTCAGTCTCAGTCAATACAGTCGCTGCAGATTGTTTTGGAACAGCCTAAGCATATAGGCTTATGACATGCAACGCATTTGTACCTTGTGCGTCGCTTCAGCCTTGCTGGACACACCTTACAAGTCTTTTTGTCATTTTCACCAACAGCTGACTCAATGCGGCTAGGTTCTGGCGGTAAATCTTCGCCAAGAATCCGTTCCATTGTCAGTCTTAGCTCTCTTGGAAGACGGTCATTGTAGACTCGTCGTTGTAAATGTGGTAAAACTAATTCTCGGGCAAGATCCTGTAAGAATCGTCCTCTTGATATGTCTGATATGTCAGCACACTGCCTATAAAGCACAAAGGCATTCACTCCGCTCAAGTCTAGCAATCTGAAAGAAAATGCTAAAGGCCATCTGCGAGTGCGGCGGCTACAGGAATAGTTTGAACATTTTTTATCAACTTCATCAACCCCACCCTTTGTCTTATTATACTCCATTATGATAACCGGTTTCTTGGTAACGGGATCAATTTCGGACGTGTGATGCATGGACGAAATCAGTAAAACTGCTTTAGATTTCTTGGGAACGTAAGAAACCAAGGTAAAATCTTTTGTAAATCCATGCAATACTGTTTCAGGTTCTCTTGTTTTGGATGCTTGAAATTCAGGTGGAATGTGACGTTTATTTCTTTTTTAGAGTTCCAACATAAGTCAGACCTCTCTGTTTTAGCTGCTCCATTAGCTCATAAGAGCTGAACCAGTTGTCAGCAGTGATGTTACGATTGGTGTTCTCAAAGTCTTTACAAAGTCGCAAAACAGACTGTGTAGGAACTGCAAACTTTTTGTCATCTTCTGGTAAACCTAAACCGTCCGATTCCTTGCCACAGTAGATATAAGCATTATAGACATAAAATGTCTCAGCATCACAAACTAACAACATTTTAAGTCCGTATTTTGCTGGTTTTTGGGCATATAAATTATGAACTTGCATCGGCCTCTAAAGGGAACAAGCATTTCATCTACGCATAAGTAAGCACCGGGTACATAAACTTTTTTGCAATTCGATATAAACTTTTCAAATATATCCGAAATTGCTGCCAGTTTGTCAGTCTCTAGTCGTTGCTGTCTGGTTTCTACATCGTCAAAGCAAATGCAGTTCAAAAGTGTAAGAAATCTGTACTGAGACATAACTGCACGAAATATCTCTCGGCCTGAACCATCTGTAGCAAAGATATATTTGGCATTCTCATGGTTAGATTTGAAGACAAATGAGTAAAATAATAACCCGAAGAAAGCCTTCATTTCTTCTGCGTCCGTGTTGCGAAGCTCAGGTTTTTCCTGATTTTTATATTTTACCCGTATCTGGGCAAGTTTTTTGTTGGTATATTCAATTATTTTGTCAGTAATATCGTCATCCATAAAATGTCTCCACAAGGTTTCTAGGTTGGTGAATGCTCTAGGCTGTGATCTAGGTACGTCAACCAAGTTGTGGCTTAGTGAACGACAGTTACTCATCACTGGTTCATCGCTTGACCATTTAAAACCATTCTTACCTATGTAGTATCTTTGGGATTCTGTGTGTATATTATCTTGTATTGAAGATAGACCTGAATCTTGCATCGCAACTGAACTGCGGGGTGATCTTTGTCGTTGAGATTGAGTTTCTTCATCCTCAGATTGTTCTAAAGCCGAGTCATGATCACTGTGCAAACAGAAATCTGGATCCACTTCTTCATCGTCCACATCACTGAAGTCTCACTCCAACTCAGCCTCTATCCACTGACTTAAGGTCTTTTCATTTGTCGAAGTATTTAGAGCTACTCGCTTTCGCTTTCGACTGTTTCCTGAAGGTCCAGGTTGATCCATCTAAAATAATAACGTACACAGTGAGGTGACGAATAAGAGACACTTAGAAAAAAATACACTAATACTGTAGTGACGTCTAATAAATCATTTACGCAAATACTGACCTCACGTCTCAGGGACACCAAACGGTCGTACAGATACAGGTGTTGCTGCCACGAGCGCGAGCACTCGACTGACCGATCACGCCACCGAAACCCGAAGGTAGCGGGAGGGGCGGGAGCGTCTTTAAAAAATTAACGCTACGAGATTGATTTTTGCATCGAAGCCGTCTGTGAGACACCCACGTCACTACTTAAAGGTTAAAGGATGAACTTTGTTGATGAGAAAATATTTAAGTACTTAAGATGATCAGATTTAAAACTTGGAATGTGTGTAATATGTGTTATAATATATTTAATTATGTAGTATAAAATGTAAGATGATTTTTAAAATTGGTAACAATATTGTGAGAAATAAATCCTACAATCATCATAATCCAGATACATTGCATTTGTCTTATTCTTTCGAAGTTTAGGTTTCCGATGTTTGCTATAGTTTTGTGAAGGTTTCACTTCAACCCCGTGTGAACTGCACACAGGTTTTTTTTTAATTTAATATAGGTGAGTGGGGGGAAGATCGAACGGTATTTTGATGAGATGAGCAGTGTTGTGTTTGACGTCTTGTAACACAGTACATATTAACTTAAGCTAAAATTATATCTATACTATTCTGTTTCTGTTCTGTTTCTATAGTGAATAGGGTACAAAAAACATATTTTTATGTCATATCGATAAATCCCTGTTATATTTATTCGAAAACAAAAAAAAATAATTACAATGTTTTTATCGAAAGAAAAAAAATGTCAGACGATATTGACTGTCAGTAGGCTACAATTTTAATTGTCCTGACACTTCAGAACTGTCTATAATATCAAAATACCTTCAAATAATACAGATAACACATGTACCTTTTACCATTTTCGTCAACAAAATATGTAGCACAAAACGTAAAAAATTAAATATTTCAAAATTAAACACCTAACCAATTAATAAGATCTCTAAGATCTTATTAATTGGTTAGGTGTTTAATTTTGAAAATGCCGCAACTAAAACATAGAAAAAATTATATCTAAACATTAATAAAAATATTGGTAGTGGATCCACGTCTACAGTTCACTGTAACACATAAATAAGCAGGGTCGACCGGTGCGATACTACTCTCTCACAGAAAATCAGCGTGAAGTGGTTAGCTTCTTAGTGGCTGCCATGTTTCGTCTGGTGAGTGAGAGTTCCGGATGCCCGTTCCTTTTCCCCTTTTCATAAGGCCACCCGAATGTTGACGTTTGCTAGATAAACCGATGTGACGTTGCATTGTTCTAGGAGCAGTGATGTCGCATTTACTAACGAGTGTCTGGTGGTATTTCCCCTTTCTTTAAGTTTCTACTCCCATTCCTACGAATCGTGTTGCTATACCTTATGAGAAGGCAACGCACAAGTAACACTCCTGTTGTTTCTTGTGTCTATGGGCAGCGGTGAAATCAGTTAGCCATCAGGTGACCCGCTTGCTCTTTTTGCCTCTCTTATAATATACAACACATTGCCGTGTAGTGGCGGTCAAGAATATCCACTACCCCATATCTTCCCGTGGGTCTCGTAAAAGGCGACAAAGGGAAACAGGCAGGAGATGGGTAGCAGCATCTTCCTGATAATAGCCAAAATTACAATAAAAAAACTGCGGTTGCCAACCCGCTAACCCGCTCACCAAGCGTGGCAACAATGGCAAATACCCCCCAATGATTAGAGCAACAAACAGACGGCCCCCAGTTGCCGGTGGCCCCGCTATTCCTGGCTACGGTGGCGACCATGGTAACGGCGGGGCAGGGCGTGCTAAGGATCTCCGGTGGAGGTTCGGTTGCCACCCTAGACGACTCGACCTGGCAACGTACAACGCATGCACCCTGAGGACTGACTAGAAGATCATGTAGCTGGAAGAAGAGATAGGCAAGTTGCGCTGGCATATTATAGGATTATCCGAAGTCCGAAGAGAGGGGGAGGACACGGTAATCCTCGAATCCGGCAACTTGCTCTATCACCGGGAGGGCGACCATCTGTCCCTAGGAGATGTCTGATTTATCGTCCACAAATCTCTCGTTAACAACGTTGTAAAGATCGAGAGTGTGTCGACGAGGGTTGCGTACCTTATACTCAGAATCACCAAACGGTATTCGCTGCAGGTCATACAGGTTTACGCATCAACCTCGGCACACCCCAAGGAGGAGGTGGAGGAAATGTATGAGGATATCTCTAGAGCCATGCATTCCTCGAAAACCCAATATACGGTGTTAATGGGAGACTTCAATGCAAAACTAGGCACAAGAGAGAACGGTGAGCTGAAAGTAGGGAAATTTTGAATAGGGCAACGGAACCCAATGGGCCAGCAGCTGGCCGACTTCATGGAGAAAGAGGGACTCTTTATGATGAACTCTTTCTTCCAGAAGCGGCCCCACAGGAAATGGACCTGGTCGAGCCCCGACGGTTCAACAGAAAATGAGATTGACTTCATTATGACGACCAGACGACAACTGTTCAGTGATGTCTCAGTGATCACGACGGTGAAAACCTGGTAGCGATCACCGAATGGTTAGAGGCACACTGAACTTACGTTAAGCCGGAGAGGTCTCGTCTAATGAAGTCTTCGCTCCGTCCCGCTAGTGCTCTGTTCCAAAGTCCCGAAACCTTACAACTCAAGTCACAAAACCGTTTTCAGTGCCTAGAAGACTACAATGAAGTTGACGACATGGATGACAACCTCGTCGAAACTGTCCATGCAGTCAGAGCTAAGTTCTGCAAGACCCGCCGCAGAAGAACACAAAAACTCTCCGATCACACTCTTAATCTAATGGCTGTTAGACGGGACATGAAGCTACATTCTTCAACAGATTTGACAGCACACAGGCAACTGAATAGACAGATCTCCAAATGCATGCAGCGGCACTTACGCAACTTCAATAAAGCTTGTATAGAAGAAGCGATCGAGCGGAACCAAGGCTCCAAAGTCTTTGCCAGAGATCTATCTGCCAGAAAGAGCCAACTGTCAAGGCTGAAGACCGAGTGTGGCAGCATCGTTTCTGAAGCACCTGAGATTTTGAGTGAGATTGAGAGGTTCTATGGACAGCTGTACACGTCATCGTTGGATCCACACGCAAGTGTGAGTAACGATCCAAGAGCGAGTCTTATCCGCCACTATTCCGAAGATATCCCGGACGTCAGTCTGAGCGAGATTAGAATGGCTCTCCAGCATCTTAAAAACGGCAAGGCCCCAGGCGAGAATGGAATTACAGCGGAGCTTCTAAAAGCGGGTCGAAAACCGGTACTGGAAGTCCTTCAGAAGCTCTTTAATTCCGTCCTCCATGGTGGAATTACACCGAAGGCGTGGAGCAGAAGTGCAGTGGTCTTGTTCTTCAAGAATGGTGACAACGCTCTCTTGAAGAACTACAGACCGATTTCCCTTCTGAGCCGCGTCTACCTGCTGTTTTCGAGAGTCATTACGAATCGTCTCGCACGCAGACTTGACGACTTCCAGCCTCTCGAACAAGCTGGTTTCCGAAAGGGCTTTAGCACCATAGACCACATATATACCCTTCGGCAAGTTGTACAGAAGTCCGAGGCGTACAATTTGCCACTATGCCTGGCGTATGTGGATTA